GCCCCAGAAGCCTCCTCACCCCAGGACCTCCTCTGTCACCCGCGCACCCCACGTAGCCAACGGGCATCCGATCAGCCAGCCCCAGCCACTTCTGATTCCCTGCAGCCCTGAGGCCGGAGCCCTGGGGCCCTGATTGCCCCCTTAGACGTCACCTGCTTCCTGGAGCCCCAGCCTTCCACAACCTGTCTTGACTAGCCACACCTTTGCCTCCTTATGCCCACTTCTTCCCAGCTCCTAGATTCCCAGCCTCAAAGATGTCATCCCTTCCTGGTACCCCACCACCCCCAAATGGCTCCCTAAACTGGAATGAGGCCATGCTCCGGCAGCCGCTGCTGCCCGGCCCTCCCCTCCCCTCCACAGGTGCAGGCCTGTGCCTGGCAGCCCTGTCCCCTCCCCTCTGCTGGGACCACACCCACCCCAATGGAGGCTTCATGCCCAGCTGCTGCCTCCTCCCAGAAGCCCCCCAGTCATGCCCACTTGTAGAATTACCTGGTCAGCGGTTGTCTTCGGCCTGGAGCTGCAGGCAGCAGGCAGGGACAGTGGCCGTGGCCACCTCAGCACAGAGCCAAAGTAGATGGCTGGCCACCCAGTGCCGTGTCAGCCATGCTCCTCTCTGCACACACTCACCCCTGCCACATGCACACAGACACAGCCCCCCTGCGCTCACACATGCACATGCACGCACGGCCTGCATATCCATGCATGCACACACATGCACACGGAAGCACGCATGCCTGGATCAGCCCTGACCCACCCCACACCGTGTCTATGTGCCCACCCTGAGCCCTCACTCACCACACACGTGCCACACTCAACCGGGCGTGCCGGCTCTTGCCGTTCCAGTGTCACTCAAATGGGCGCTGGGAGCTGGATAGCTTGAGCGGCTGTTGGCTGCCTCTCCCTGCCAGCGTTTGCCAAGCAGTTTCCATGGCGACACATCTTGGCTCTGGCAGGAACTGAGGAGAATGGGGAAGAGGGTCCCCATGGAGGGGGAGAGGTAGGAGGTCTCTGAGTCCTATGGTGCTAACACATACACAGAGGACCCCACAAGTGGAGATCCCCTCCACCTAAGCTAGGCTTGCACCCCCAAGAAGGAGACTCTAAGGCTATTCCTCTGGGCCTAGTACGGGAGCTGACTTTGGTCATTCAGTCATTCAACAGACCTCCAGCCACTCTGTGTGGATGCTAGGGCTGCAATGCTTGTAGGATCTGGACTTACAAAGGGATAAAGTCCTAAGCCTGGTGGAGTGGCTCCTTGCTACTTAGGACGTGGAGATCTGAGGATCAAGATTCAAAGCCAACCTGGGCAGACAAATCCAAGGATTTATCTCCAACTAACCAGCAAAAAGCTGCAAGTAGAACTGTAGCTCAAGTGGTAGAACACCAGCCTTGAGTGAAACTGCCAAGTGAAAGCATGAAGCCAAGTTTAAGTTCCAGTATGGGTACAAAACCCAAACAATAAAAAAGACCACCTAGCTAGGTGTTAGTGGTTCACACCTGTAATCCTAGCTACTTAGAAGGCTGAAATCTGAGGATCACGGTTTAAAACCAGCCCAGGCAGGAAAGTCCATGAGACTCATCTCTCTCTCTCTCTCTCTCTTTTGGTGGGGCATGGGGCTTGAACACTGGCTCAAGGATAGCTTTTTCTGTTTATGTGGTACTGAGGAATCGAACCCAGGGCCTCATGCATGCCAGGCAAGTAAGCACTCTACCACTAAGCCACCTTCCCAGCCCCGAGAGTCTTATATCTAATTGACTACCAGAAAACCAGAAGAGGAACTGCAGCTCAAAGTTGTAGGGAGCTAGTTTTGAGCAAAAGAGCTCAGGGACAGCACTCAGGCCAAGTTCAAGCCATACAACCAACCAAAACAAAAAAGGAGCCAACTCTGAACCAGGGTGCCCTTGGCCCCACCCTTCCCAGGGAAGTCAGCCGGCATCCTTCTCCAAGGCTGTACCTACGGTGTAAGGGTGCGAGTCACCATGCCCTTTACCATGACTTTCGTTTTGTGGGTTTTTTTGTCAGTCATGGGGCTTGAACTCTGGGTCTGGGTGCTGTCCTTAAGCAATTCAGCTCAAGGCCAGTGCTCTAACACTTGAGCCACAGCACCACTTCCGGTTTTCTGGTGCTTAATTGGCGATAATGTAAGCCGGGCACCAGTGGCTCACGCCTGTAATCCTAGCTACTCAGGAGGCTGAGATCTGAGGATTGCGGTTCAAAGCCAGCCCGGGCAGGAAACTCCATGAAACTCTTATCTCCAATAAACCACCAGAAAACCGGAAGTGGTGCTGTAGCCTTGAGCTAAAGAGCTGAGGGACAGCGCTAAGGCCCAGAGTTCAACGCCCACGACCAAAAAAAAAAAAAAGTCTCATGTACTTTCCTGTCTGGGCTGGCTTTGAATCGCAATCCTCAGATCTCAGCCTCCTGAGTAGCTAGGATTACAGGCGTGAGACACCAGCGCCAGCTGCCATGACTTTTGAGCCTGGAGCACCCCGGTAGAGACCAGCCTGTGCCAGTCAGCCCCAATCAACCCTCAGAGGACCCCATCCAGAGCAGCAAAAATGCTAGAATAGCCAGCCCATCGACCCCTTGGAATACATTGATTTAGGGCTAGTTGTTATGTAGTGCTAACACACTGGTGCATCCTTTTCTGGGACCCTGGCTAGCAGTCACTGAGTCTTAGCACCCGGGCCAGGTGAGGGTACTGGGCCTCCAGCTCTGCTGGCCCTGGGAACTGTGGGTGGAGCATGTGGGGATGAAGAGGCTTTCCTACAATCAAGACACAGGCTGTATACCCTTGAGCTATGTATGCGCCAGTTCCCAGGGGGATGGTTAGTCCACACAAGCGAAATCTGCATGGCAACAGTGCTGTCACCAGTTGCTGCTTCACCCTGATTGGACAGGCCAGCTAACATCTATTCTGATTGGTGGACATGCCAGCCAACAATTATACTGATTGGTTGGTATCATTCTGCCAATGCAGTAAATTCAGGCTTTGAAAATTCAGTAGCCTCCAGGAGTGAGGGGGACAGCAGAAATCAGGGCCAGTGCTGCCCAAAGTGGAGGTTATTACAGATGTTTCTCCAGAGTGAGCCTGAAGGACGATTCTCCAGGATGTCCCCACTACTTCACACATCAGGGAACCACAGGAAAGATGGGTGTAGTCCTGAGGGGCAGAAAAAAAAAGTGTTCCTAGAAGTAGGGCTGCAGGTTGCTCTTGCAGATTTAAGAACTAGTGATGTGTTGGGCTGGGAAGGTGGCTCAGTGGTAGAGTGCTTGCCTTGCATGCATGAGGCTCTGGGTTCGATTCCTCAGCACCACATAAGCAAAAAGAGAAAAGCCGGAAGTGGCGCTGTGGCTCAAAGTGGTAGAGTGCTAGCCTTGAGCTAAAGAGCTGAGCGACAGAGTCCAAGCCCAGAGTTCAGGCCCCACAACCGGACTCCCCCACCAAAAAAAGGAAAGAAACTAGTGATGTGGAAAACCCACAGTATGATTTAAGGAACCACCAACCAGCAACTTGTCAACTCGAATCCTCCCATTGGGTCTACCTTTACCCCAAGCCTCAAAGAACCCCATGAATTGCTTGAGAGCCCCAATGCCATGGAATCCCTCCCAGAATCTCTTCAAAGAAGCCCATGGAATTCCTTCAGTGACCCCCACAGAGCTCCTTATTAAGAACAGAACTGCAAAGGACCACAATGGAATTTCTTCAAAGCCTTGAACCATAAACTGTGAGGAGCCACGTGGTTCTGGGTGCCCCCTGGACGCAGTCAATGATGGAGGTGCTGGGTGGTGAGTCCTGGGCACTCAGTGTGACTGTGGTTGCCAGTGTCTGGCAGTTAGGCAACTGTATGGCTGGCAATTGGAGAGCAGAACGCTGGTGGTGATATGTACAGCTGCAGGCCTGGCCCACCGCAGCCCCTCATGCACAAGGACTGGTGGTGTGGCTAGAGCCCTAGAATGCCCCAAGGTTTGAGGCTGATGGTGAGAAGGCAGAGGGAGAGGGTGACGGGGCCCCATTTCTCCACCCAGAGGCAAGCCACCTAACAAAGAAACAGTGTGTTCCTCTGTGGGCGATAGATCTCCTTAGTGGAAGCCGTGAATTTTAGGGTTTGATGAGCTGCTCATGTGACCAAAACTAGTGAGGCTAAAAATAATGTGTGTATCTAAAGAAGCAGCAGAAAGCCAGGCACAGGTGGCTCATGCCTGTGAACTACTCAGGAGGCTGAGAGCTGAGCATCACAGTTCAAAGCCAGCCTGGACCGGAAAGTCTGTGGGACTCTTAATTCCAATTAACCAGCAAAAAGCCAGAAGTGGATCTGTGACTCAAGTGGTAGAGTGCCAGTCTTGAGTGAAAAACCTTAGAGACAGCATCTAGGCCCTGAGTTCAAGCCCCATTACACACACACACACACACACACACACACACACACACACACACACACACACACACACACACACACACACACACCCTTAGAAATCTCAGTGAATATGGAAGATAAAAGGAACTTGGTCTATACATTATGGAAAAATTGCAGAATATGAACATGACAGTGAGAGCAGCTGAGGAAAAGGCTTCCTTCCCCAGCAGAAATGAGACTGACCACAGACACCCAACCACTGCTGTGGGAGTGAGTGGGCAAGGGGCTGCCCTGTGGCAGTCCGCTGAGAGCAGGGCAGGATTTATTCTGTTATGGGTAGTGTAGGACGTGATGCCTGCAGGTTCACATGATGACAAGCTGTTCCCCAGCTGGTGGATCTGATCACCAAGAGTTGTCCTGTGGGCTCTGAACCAATCAATGAAATGAAAACAACTGCACGTTCTACCAAAATTTCAATGGCACTGTCACAGAAATAAAAAAAGGAAAAAAAAACACCCCAAGGAAAGTCTCAGGAGATAGAGGTGGACATACTGGACAACCCACTCACACAGGACAAAGCCAGGCCTCTTACACCATATGCAAAACTAGTTAAAAATGGACTAGATATCAATGCCACTCGCTTTGAATAGAAAATAAAAACACTTCTTTAATAACACATCAAAATGTGGGAATTTGTATTTCCTTTTTTGAGATCAGATCTTGAAGCTCAAGCAAGCCTCAAACTTGTGACCTTCCTTGCCCTCAGTATCCTAAATACTGGGATTACAGGTGTGTCTCACCAGGCCAGGCTTGATCCATTCTCTAGAGGCTTTGGTGCAGCCAGCTTGGGCTAGAGCTCAGGGACACCAGAGGCCGGAACAGGGAGGCCACACAGCTCAGTAGCAATCGGCCTCATTTTCCCCCAGCGCACCCACTGTGGCCAGCATGTCCTGCAGGAGGGACTGGGGGCTCTTCTCCATATGGTCACTGCTCTGAGCCAGCCGGGCCTGCAGTCCCTCCAGGTCTGTGGACCTCAGCAGGGCCAGCATGGCCTCGGGCTGCAAGTCTCTGGGGAGCTGGTCTTGCTCCCCGGCCCGCCATCTCTGTAGGGTGACTTGCCCCGAGGCCGAGCCTGGGATGTCCCCTGCCTCCTGCAGGCCACTGCACATGGCAGTCTTGTCCTTGAGGAAGAGGAGGAGGTCACAGGCCTTTTGGGCCACAGGTCGGTCACAGTCGAGCAAGGCCCGGAAGGCAAAGTCAAAGAGCCGCAACCGGCAGAGACTCTGTAGCACCTCGGGGACTGGGGTGGCTGAGGCAGCCTCCGGCAGGGCCACCATGTAGGGACAGCGGGGCTGGCCCAGCCTCTGCACCAGGAACACCTGCGCCAGCTCCAGGCCCTGCACCCGGACCTCCCAGTCCAGGTCCTGGCTTACTACCTGGAGCACGGTGGCAATAAACCACTCTGTGTCCCGGGCCACATCAGCATGGCCGTCCCTCAGCCACTCAGTGAAGACCTGCACGACAGCCCTCCTCGGAAAGCCCTCAGAGTCAGTGGATAGGATGCACAGGAGCTCCCCGAGCAGGCCCTGGGGATAGATATGCCAGGCAGGGAAGGTCAGCACACCCAGGAGCCCAGGGTCACCCAGGCCTGGGCCACCTGCTACCTGGCTTCTTCATGCAGCCTGCCCTTAGCCTCACACCACTCACCTGCCCAGTGGACACTAAGTCTGAGCGGGGTATTGGTGAGCTCAGTATACCCAGTAACCCCTTCGGGCCTGTAACTAACCACAGTGGCTGCCTATGGCAGGAGAGCTGGAAGTTCCTACCTGCTGGGCCTGTGGGTGCTCAGGACTGTCGGGGGCGGCCTGTAAGCCCCGGCTAGACAGCTGCCCGGCGGCGGCCACCGCGCTGGCCCGGACATAGCTCTCAGGGTCCTGGAGCAGCTGCTGGGTGAGCGTGGGCACCTCAGATGCCAGCAGCGCCCGCCTGAAGTCTGCCTGGCCTGGGGTCAAGGGGCCATACAGCTGTGACTGAGGACAGTGGGGTGGCCCGGGGGCCCCAGCACTGCCAGGCCTCATGGCCCCCCCCCCCCCCACCTGTTCCCAGGCGCTCACCTCCCCAGTGCCGGCTGAGCTGCGTGAGGAACTCCAGCACCGAGTCACGCACCTCCCAGCTGGGGCTACACAGGCGCTTCTGCAGCACAGGGAACAGCTCTGGGCCAGGAAGGGGCGGTCAGTGCAGCCTCAGGGGGGGGGGGAGGGGAAAGGAAAGAACCCCACTCCACCCATGTACACTGGCTCCACACAGCCCTGTGGGGGCTGGGGTTACCTCTGAGGAATAGCAGAGGGTGGGGGCCGAGGTCAGGGCAGCCAGGGGTTCTGGGAGAGCTCAGAAGCCATCTGAGTGTGGTTTGGAAGGCCTTCTTCAAGACCTGGAGAGAGCAGGAGGCTGGGGGCAGGAGGGGCAGCACCCCCTGCCCTGTCACCTGTACCCCACACCTGCTGGCCCTACCCAGGGTACAAGTGTGGGCAAGGACAGGACGGGTGCCCTCCTCATGAGCACTACCTGGAGGCGGGGGCGGGTCTGACTTTGAAACCAGAACAAACATAACTGCGGACTCCTTCCCTTAAGGTCCTAGGCCCTCCGCGCAAGTCACCCCACTGCCTGCCCTGCAGCACCTGGCACTGTCTGTGCTCAATGGGACAGGCATGCTCATTAGACTTGACCCTGAACCAGGTGTGGTGGCACCCTCGTGTCATCTCCGCACTTAGGGGGCAGAGGCAGGAGGATCAAGTTTGAGGCCAGCCTAAATTACATGACAAAACTCTGTTTCATAAAATAACAAAACATTGGCTGAGAATGTGGCTTAGTGGTAGAGTGCTCGCCTAGCATGCATGAAGCCCTGGGCTAGATTCCTCAGTACCACATACACCGAAAAAGCTGGAAGTGGTGTTGTGGCTCAAGTGGTAGAGTGCTAACCTTAAGCAAAAGAGGCTCAGGGACAGCGTCCAGGCCCTGAGTTCAAGCCCCAGGACGGGCAAAAACAAAACAAAACAAAAAAACAACAAAACAGCTGGGCACTGGTAGCTCAAACCTGTAATCCTAGCTATTCAGGAGACTAATATCTGAGGGTTGTAGTTCCAAGCCAGCCTGGGCAGGAAAGTCTGTGAGACTCTTATCTCCAATTAAATCACAGAAAAAGCTGAAAGTGGTACTACTGCTCAAGTGGCAGAATGCTAGCCTTGAGTGAAAGAAGCTCAGAGACAGCGCCCAGCCCAGAGGTCAAGCTTCAGGACTGGCAAAAAAGCAAATAACAAAAGCAAGCAAAAAAAAAAAAAAAAAACCACACACAAAACATAACAAAAAAACAAGTTGGGACACTGGTGGCTCACACCTGTCACCCTAGCTATCAGGAGGCTGAGATCTGAGGATCATGGTTCAAAGCCAGCCTGGGCAGGAAAGTCTGTGAAGCTCTTATCTGCAATTAACCACTTAAAAACCAGAAGTGGAGCTGTGACTAAAAGGGGTGGAGCACTAGCCTTGACCAAAAGAGCTCAGAGCCAGTGCCCAGGCATCCAGTTCAAGCCCCACAACTAATGAAAAAGAAAAGTCACTTGTGAGCATAGGGGCCACTCAGGCTCAACTCCCCTCCCTGGCCAACAATTCTGAGGGCAGAAGCCTGGCTAGCCCTGCTCACCTCAACCCACCCCACCTCTTGCACAGGGCTGTGTAGACCTTTTACCCTCCCAAGTCCCTTGGAGCAGTGGTTCTGCCAGCCTTCCCGGGACCCAACCCTGTACCCCTGTACCCCAGTACCGTGGGACTGGAGTCAGGGCTTCCAAGGTACTCTGACAGGACAGCAAACACCTCCTTCTCCAACTCCTGGGAGCCTGGGAAAGACGTGAACATACAATTCACCCCAACTCCCACCCAGGCACGCCCATCATGCCTAGAGACTCCCTCCTGGCAGAGAACATGCAACCCTGCCTTGTCCTCAATGAGCGAGCCCCACCTTCCCCTGAGAAACAAACAGGGATAGCAGGCCCAGAAGTCCAGAGAGAGAGGGAAGTGGGGTCCACCACCCAACACCAAGGCCATGTAAGGGGAGTCACGGTCACTCACGTGTCTCCTGAGAAAGGGTCCCCAGGAAGTCAAGGGCAGCTCGCTGGACACGAACGCAGCCTGCCAGAGTGGCACAAAGGCGGCCACCGCCACTGGAGCTGGGAGTTGCGGAGCCGTGGCAAAGCCGCAGTATGGTCACAGCAGCGCCCAGCAGTGGCTCTTGGGGCCAGGGCGCTGGGCGCTGGGGCTGCAGGGAGAGGAGGGTCAGCATGACGGCAGGTCCTGCAGTGCTAGGCCACGTGAGGCCAGGGCCGCACCTACCAGTGGCTGCAGCTCTTCCAGTTGGGCCAGGGTCTGGCACAGGATCCCCACACAGGCCGACTTGGAAGATAGAAGCGTGTCCACTGTCAGGGAGCTGCCTTCAGCCCCGTCCAGCCAACCTGGAGGCCACATGGAACAGCCTTGGGAGGGATCATGGCCCAAAGCAGAGGCCAGGGCATGAGGTCAGAGCTGTGGTCTGCCACAGATGCCGGCTGGCCCACCCCTGGCCATGGTTACTCTTGGAGGGAGGCCTGAGCAGGACCAAAGCTGGGGCGGCGAACTGAGTATGTGCTTCTCAGCACCCTTCCCGTGCCCTAACCCTAAGGACTCACCCAGGACCGAGGCCCCAGCCACCCCACCCCACGCACCATACCTGGGGGACCAGGTGCCTGGGCAGTGGCCTTTACAACACAGGCCAGAGGCTGGAGGAGGACTCCGAAGGCCTGGACCCTCAGTGCCTGGGGACTGGGGACACAGGACATAGTGTAATGTGCTGGCTACATCCCTACCAACCCCACAAGTCTGAGACAAATTGACATGAGCTGGGGGCCTGGAAAACACTGAGAAAAGCTCCCTGCAGGGTAGGGGACTTCATGGAAGGGGCCAGCCTGACCAAGGCCTGGAAGTCCCCGCCCTGGTGCCCACAGAGGCAGTCACTGTGCTTCAGGGGTTGTGTGGACTTTGCAAAACTTTGCATATAATTGTCTGGAAAACCATCACATCCATTGGCAGCCTGGCCCTTTTCCTCACCATGAATTCTACACTCCAGGGCTGGGAATGTGGCTTAGTGGTAGAATGCTTACCTAGCATGCATAAGTCCTGGGTTCAATTCCTCAATACCACATACACAGAAAAAGCCAGAAGTGGTGCTGTGGCTCAAGTGGTAGAATGCTAGCCTTGAGCAAAAGAAGCTCAGGGACAGTGACTAGGCCCTCAGTTCAAGCCCCAGGACTGGCAATCAATCAATAACATAAAAATAAAGACAGAGATATGAAATGCACTCCAATCTTCACCCGCCCTGTTCCCAGTACTCTCCTCTGTGCCAAGCCAGCCCAGTCATACCAGTGCGGGAGTTTCAGCATCCCCAAGGCCAGAGACCCAGCTTGCATGGGGCTTAGGCAGCGTAGAGCCTGAGCTACTGCCTCCCACAGTCTGCCATGGGAAGAGCTGAGCGCTGGAGACCTACAGAGGCCACAAAGAGATTCAGCCTCCATTCCCACAGACGCTAGGGTGCCCCACAGGGCTGCCACAGCCCCCACTGGGGGGTGACCAGCCCTGTACACAGCTGTCTCAGAAACGAGGGGCAGGGTCCTTCCCCATGGGGCTCCCCTCAAGGCTGTATTCTTGGAGGGGCAGTTCTGACTCTCTGCCAGTGAAATCCACCCAGGGGTAGCAATTACTCATACCCAGCCCCCCACCAGACATATCCCAGGGACCTGACCGGGCCACACTGAGGAGGAGATCCACAAGTGAGTGTGCAGCTGGGATGGGGGTCCTCTCCAGCAGGCGGGCCACAAGGGGACACAGCTGTCCCCAGAGGGTCTCGGTCCACGGGCTGTAGCAGCGCCCAAAAGTAGAAGTCAGGACATTCAGGGCCTGTGTGACCTGCGGGGCAGCTGTGGATTGCAAGGACTCTTCCAAATGGCCCATAATCTTCTGGGCACAGGCAGGCCACACCCCGTCCCACAGGCCGGAGCACCCCGTGGTTCCAGCTTGCATGGACAGAGCCAAGGTGTGCACCAGGAGCTGGCTGGCAGCCGAGGCCACAAACAGGCTGGGGTCTCCCTGCAGGGAGAAGATGGTGTCCACAGCACCTGGAGGGAGGAGGGGGAGGGGAAAGCAGGTCAGGGGGAAAGGAGGACAGCTCTGATGCACAGGTCAGAGCCCAGACCAAGAGCTTGACCTCAGGGATAGTTTGGTTGCCCTCAAGGCCTCCAACTGCCAGAGAGCTGGCAACTAAGTTGTCAAAGGTGAGCATGCTGAACCCACGGCACCTTCTGAAAGCCCCATGTCTGACCGCCAATCTGTGAGCAACTTGGGCCACCCCAGCTCTTGGAGCTGTCTTAGAAGCTGACCACAGTGTCACTCCAGGGTGCCTGTCTCCACTTGGGCAACAACTCTGGACCACTGTCATCCCCTTCCAAACTGAAACCAGGCTCAGAGAGATACAAGAGCTCCCATGGGCCCTTATTATATACTTGCCTAGGTCCAGAGGGTGGGACTCAAGCTAAACTCACCGCTGTCAGCCAGGAAGTGCAGGGCACAGGGGTGCTGTGCCAAGGAGCGCAGGCCCTGGATCCAGCCGCTACGCACAGTAGGCACGCTCCAGGCTGCCCAGCACTGGGGGCCGCCCTCCCCAAACAGTCCTAGCAGCAACTCACCCTGCTGGAAAGCCAAGAGAAAGCTGGAGATTGAGCATGTAAGGAGGGACGGGGGACAGGATGTCAAGGCCCTTTACCTCAATTGATCTGGGGGGTGATAAGTGTGACTCAGACCCTCTCTACTCCACCTTAAATAGGAGGGATGGGATTCTTGGAGGGGGAGAGTCAGACTTTTTCCCTCCTTTTTGTTCTTTTGAAACAATGTTGTTACATAGCTAAGATTGGTGAGGAACTCCTGAGCTTCCTATCTATGCTTCCCAAGGGTTGGGGTTATAGGTGTGTGCCACCACACCCGGCAAAAACTGGATTTCAAGGAGTTCTATGGCTCTTGTAATTGTCCTCCTGAGAAGCCTTTCTACCAGAATGGCACCACAAAGCTGGCTGGCTAGCTTTGTACAAGCCATGACATCAGGGTCATTCTGCAAACTTGAGTGTTCCCCATGGATGATGTGGGAATGACCCTGAAAACCCCACAGCCACATATGGCCCCAGAACTATCTGGAAACACTTCTTCATAGCATTATGAAGTTATCTGAGCCTCATGAGTCTGTGGGCAGTCAGAATGACAGCCTACAGGGACTCAGAGACGAGTCCTCCACTGTGAGTCTTTCATTCCAGCACAGTACCCCCCAGGTTTTCAAAGGTGGATGTCATGGGAGGATGAAAATGCAGAGGAGGGAGGAAGGAGGACTTGGAGGGACCACGCAGTAGGAACACGACCCTAGTGCAGAGCTACAGCCAACATCTCACTAAATGGGGAAAAACAACCCATTTCCTCCAGAAGAATGAGACAACAGTATCCACTTCTATTCAACAGATGGCTTGAAATCATCACCAGAGCAATAAGGCAAGAAAAATAAATAAATAAAAGGGATACAAATAGGAAAGGAACAGGACAAATGGCCAGCAACATAAATGTGTGTGTGTACACATATATATGTTATTGGCCATACATATATAACAAGCTAAGACCAGGCTTAGCGAGGTGCAAGAGTTCCCACAGGCCCTGATTATACAATTGCCTAGGTCCAGAGGGTGGGACGGGGCAAGGCAGGGCTCAAGCTAAACTCAGTACTGTCAGCCAGGAAGTGCAGGACACTGGGGTGCTGTGCCAAGGAGTGCAGGCCTTGGACCCAGCCACTACACACAGTAGGCACGCTCCAGGCTGCCCAGCACTGGGGGCAAGACTGTACCCAAAAACTCTTAGATTTTAGTAAACTAGCAAGACATAAAATCAACATGGGATACTCAGCAAGCAGGAGAACAAGACCACTGAAGGCAACTTCAAAAACAAAATGCCTGGATATAAACTTAACCAAGAAGGTGAAGGGAAAACTAAATCCTTGAAGACACTACGGGAAGATCTCTTGTGTTCACGGACTGGCAGAATGACTGTTGTGAAAACAGCCACACTAAGGCAAAGTGTCAAGACCTGGGGATTGAGATGGCCCTAAGCTCCTCCCCTACCCCCCTGGAGGGCCTGGCAGGAAGAAGGCCCAGGCTTACCTGCAGGTACAGGAAGCAGTCCTCCTGGGCTGCAAATGTTCCAGCAAGGCGCAGGGAAAAAGAAAGGACCCTGGAACTCATGTCCTGTGACTTCAGCACATGGGACAGAAGCTCCACCAAGGCAGGGTTCTCTTGCAGCAGCAGGAGACTGGACTCTGCAGAGATAGGCCGGGTTCAGAGGGCAAAGAAGAGGGACATGTGGAGGGCCACTTCCCCAGAGGTGGCTCCCAGATCCCTTTTCTCATTCTTTCAAGAAGCAAGACTGTACAGTTTATGGTTTCTCATCCCAGCTGGACTTTAACCGTCAGCCAGAAACTCCAAAAAGTGAAAGAATGATACCAGATCGACAGGCAAGCCCTTGCACTTTGTACTATACACCATCCCCATCCTCTGGCCTCTGAACAGCACCCCAACAGCACTCACACCCTTACCCGCCTCTGTGACAGTTTTAAACCAGTCCAGCAGTTTCTCTAAACAGGTGTCATCTGCCAGGGGCTGCCTGGGATCCGCCAGTGCAGCACAGAGGGCCGGGAGCAGCCGGGAGCACTCGGGGTCCATGATCAGCCAGGGGTTGCTGCAGAGGCATGGGGGCAACCTCAGGTCAGGCTCTCATCCTCATTCATCCTAGTCCCAGGCAGCTAGGGGTGGGAAGAGGGTCTCCAACTTTCACTTCAGACCAAAGCTACAGGCTGCCCACCTATGTGCAAACCTCAAGGGATAGGGGTAGGGTGGGCGGCTGGGCAGCCAAGAGGATGCATGGCCAGGCACAGGTGTCTCATGCTTACAATCCTAGCTATTCAGGAGGCTGAGATCCAGAAGTTCCTGGTTCTAAGACACAATAGAAAAGTCCTACGAACTAACAAAAAGCTGGCTGGAATTGTGCTCAAATGGTAACAGCTCGGGGCAATAGCCCCAAGTAAATAAGTAAGAGACTTTTGAGTTCAAACCCGTGTGCAGCAAAACAAAGCATGCGGGACCGGTGGCCTCCAAGGAAGGAAGAGATAAAGAGGCTGGTGCACCACGACGCTTTCGGAATTAAAAGCCTCGGGGGTGGGGGGGTGAGGGGGAGGAAGAGAGGGAGGGAAGAGTCTGTGACTTGAACTCAGGGCCTTAGCTTTTTCTGATCAAGGCTCCACAAGAGACCAGACATAGCCGCGGAGATCGAGCCCACAGCGGTCCCACCCCACGGGTCCCACCCCACGGGTCCCACCCCACGGGTCCCACCCCACGGGTCCCAGCCGACCCCCCCGACCCCTCCGCCCCGGGTGCGTACTCACCCGGCTACGGAACGCGACCGCACAGCGTTCCTCGCTCACTCCGCGTTCCGTGCGTCGACCGCAAGCCCCGCCCCACGCCGCCTCAAGCCCCGCCCATAACGCTCCAGGCCCCTCCCAGGTCTCGCTGGGAGAGGAGAGAATGAAGGCGACGACGGTAAAGTAGGGGAATCGTGATAACGTCCCTGAAGTTCGCTCTGGTCACCTAAAAGGTTGAGACTGGGGAATGGAGTCACGCGAGTTTTTGGGAAGCCCAGCACCAAACCGGTATCTTGGGCTTATCATCCCCTCTGCCCCCCCAACCAAGACGCTCAGTGGTACGAGCCCAAGCCGCCCGTGGGTGGGGCGTGTCGACGGCGGGGGCTACGTGATGTGGGCGTGGCCTACGTGATGTGGGCGTGGCCTGGCCGGGCCGGGCCGGGCCGGGCCTTCTTGTCCTGGAAGAGGGAGACCGCGGGTCCCTAGAGCCAAATCCTTAGTTGTTTGACTTCTCAGTGTCTCCCCGAACTATTGGTCCAAATGCCTCGTTCCCTTTTCATTCCCTGTTTCCTACCACAAAGCTGGTTGCTGGCTTCAGCGCTGAGAGAAGACAAAGAGTGGTTTAGGAGCCCAGCGTTTGGAGGTTCACTGTCGTCTCCTTCCTGCAAAATGGTAATGAATAGTTTGTGGGCTTTGGTTGGTGTCATAAAATACAGCACAATCTCAGGTTCACAGAAAATGCCCACCTCCCTCCCTCCCCCGAAATAGATAACCACCGGACTACAATCGGCAGTAATTTGAATATTTGAATGTGAATTAATATCAAATCGCAGGCCAAGAGCCACAGCTCATCCTATAATCTCAGCTACTCAGAAGACTGTAGGGAGAAGGATCATAGAGGAGATCCTAACCTGAAAAGTAACTAAAGCAGGGGCTGGGAATGTGGCTTAGAGGTAGACTGGTTGCCTAGCATGCATGAAGTCCTGGGTTCGATTCCTCAGCACCACATAGAAAAAGCTGGAAGTGATGGCTCACATAGGCCCTGAGTTCAAGCCCCAGGACTGGCAACACAAAACAAACACTAAAGCAAAGGTGGCTTGGGATGTGACTCAAGTGGTACTGTGACTGCCCAGCAGGACTTCCCTTCCCCTCAAAAAATGAAGCAAAACAAATAGCAAAAATAAACCTTTTTTATGGTGTGGGGCTTGAATTCAGGGTCTGGGCGCTGTCTCATCTTTTTTGCTCAAGGCTAATGCTCTACCACTTGAGCCACAGCTCCATTCCTGGCTTGTTTTTTGGTAGTGGGAGTAGGTAGTTGTTTGGAGATAAGCCTCACAGCTTTTCTTGCCCAGTCTGGCTTCAAACAGTGATCCTCAGATCTCAGCCTCCTGAGTAGTTAGGATTACAGATTTGAGCCACCAGCGCCCAGCTAAACTTCCATTTTAAACTTCCAGCATGAACGATCCTTTATTTATGCTTCCTACGTGGCTTAGAAGACGGGCACATGCCACCCAGCCCAGCTACTGGATGAAATGGGCTCTCTGTAACGTTTTGCCTAGCCTGCCCATAATTTGCATCTGCCCAGTCTCCACCTCCTCAGTAGTGGAGGTTACAAGCATTCAATCACCACTCCCAGCAATGTTATTTTTCATTTAGGATCTTGCCTTTTTGTTTTGGGGGCTATTTTTGCCCAGGTTGGCCCCTCATCATAATCCTCCCACCTGAGAAGGCTGGGATTCCAAATAAGAACCACCGGCCCAGGATTACAGATTGAGATAAAGTCTCACTAGTTGTTCTTATCTGGATAACCTCAAACTTCAATACTCTCAATCTCTGCCTCCCAAGTAGTTGGGGTTATAGGTTTGATCCACCTCACCGAACTACACATGGCATGATCTTATCCTTAAGTATCAGGTAGCTAGAAACCTAACTATGTGTTACTAATCATGCCTCCCATGAACCCTGTCAGGGGCTGACAAGGCGACTAAGCACCCATAAAACACTTTGCAAACTGTCCCGCCTGGCTCTGGACAGCGCATGCGAAAACTCCCGGGGTTCCACGGTGGCCATTTCCGGGCGCGCTCCCACTGGGCATGCGCCGACTCGGGCGCGCAGGCGCACCGACGTTCTCTGGCGAGGTGGGCGGGATCACATCCGGGGTCCCGCGACCACGCGGTGCGTGGTTGCCATGGCACCGGGGTAGCGGGCCGGCGCGGGGCGTTTGGACAGCGCCAGCTGTTGGAAAGCGTGGAGGCTGCGGGCGACTTGGACCGGCCACCAGAGGCCGATGGCTGAGTCGGCAGCGTCGGGGCGCCGGGGCCGAGTCCCCGCCGTGAGCCTGGGCACGGAGGAGCCCGCCTCGGAGACCGTAAGTCAGGACGCGGCCTCCGTCCCGCGGGAGGACGGGCGCGCCATGGCGGCCGGCCCCGGGCGTTGGCCGGCCCGCGCCCCACCAGAGGCCGCCGCTTCCCAGAAGCTGAGGGCCGGCGAGGGGGCCCCGCCGCACACCTCCTTCCTGGCATGCGGTGCTCCACCCCCAGCACCGCCAAAAAAACAACAACCAGCATGAATAACAAGAATTTGTTGAAGTTGCAAGATTTAAAATAAGATTCTGCATGCCGGTCCAGTACCAGGGAGGTGATGCTCCAATAGTCCCTCCCATCCCATGCCAGCCCTTTTACTTCCTTGCAGACTTGGTCATCTTGTCTTTGCGTGTTTACTTTTGTTTTTGTGTCTGTACTGGAGCTTGGTTTCAGGGCCTGGGTGCTCCTTTGAGCTTCTTCCCCTCAAGGCTGGTGCTCCACCATTTGAGCCACAGCTCCATTTCTGTTGTTTTTTTTTTCCTGTTCACCCTGGCTTTGAACTGTGATCCTCAGATCTCAGCTTCCTGTGTAGCTCGGTTTATAGGCATGAGCTATCCAACTCCTATCTTTGCTTTTATGAGTTGGTATCATTCACAGCATAAAAGTTTTTAACCGTGGGGCTGGGAAGGTGGCTCAGTGGTAGAGCGCTTGCCTTGCATGCCTGAGGCCCTGGGTTCGATTCTTCAGCACCACATAAGCAAAAAGAAAAAAGCCGGAAGTGGCGCTGTGGCTCAAGTGGTAGAGCACTAGCCTTGAGCTGAAGAGCTGAGGGACAGCGCCCAGGCCCAGAGTTCAGGCCCCACGACCGGACCAAAAAAAAAAAAAAAGTTTTTAACTGTAATGGGGTTTGTTGTGCCTACTTTATACACCAGCTGCTGTTCAGATAACTGATTTTCTGCAGTTTTTTTTTTTTTTTTTTGTCGGTCGTGGGGCTTGAACTCTGGGCCTGGGCGCTGTCCCTCAGCTCTTCAGCTCAAGGCGAGCGCTCTACCACTTGAGCTACAGCGCCACTTCCGGTTTTCTGGTGGTTTATTGGAGATAGGAGTCTCACGGTCTCTCCTGCCCGGGCTGGCTTTGAACCGCGATCCTCAGATCTCAGCCTCCTGAGTAGCTAGGATTACAGGCGTGAGCCACCAGCGCCCGGCCTTCTGCAGAGTTTAGTTCAGCTGGTTCACCTCTGTGTGGCACAGGCTACAGGTTAACTCCTCTGGTCTCCCACTTAGTATGTTTATCCAGTTCTCCACCTTCCTTCCCAAAATTGTGTATGTCAGCGTTAAGCTGACGCATTTTGTTTAAATGGCAGCTTTCTCTATATTGTCACATGCTACTCATGCCTTTCAATGTCACCTGTTTCATGACCATGAAACTCTGAAGTCCATGAACAGCTTTTTCAAAGGTTCTGGTTGTTTGGCATGCATTGTGCCCTTTTGTCCCTAGCTCAGGTTATACTGTAATAGAAACAGTGGGATTTGATCTCAGAGCATTTCATTTGGTAGGCAGGTGCTCTACCAGTTGAATCATGCTTCCAATCCAGCTTTTTGCTGGCTAATTGAAATGCAATCTCTTCGGCTTTTCTGCTGAGGCTTGCTTCTAAAACCATGTTCTTCTAGGTCTCAAACTCCTGAATAGCTAGGAATTATAAGAATGAGCCACTAGCATTCACCTTACTTTAGTTATTCTTCAGGTACAATCTTGAGTTTTTGCCCATCATAGACTGTGATCCTCCTATCTGTGGTCTCCTGCATAGTTGGGATGACAGGTATACCCACAAAAGCCCAGCATTTTCTGTTGAGATGGGAGTCTCACAACTTTTTCCTCCCTTGGCTGGCCTAGGACAATAGTCCTGATCTCAGCCTCCTGAGTATCAGAAATGACAGGCATGAGCTATCAGCACCCAGGACACATTGCACTTTTATTGTTGTTGTTGTTATATTATTTTATTTTTTGCCAGTCCTAGGGCTTGAACCTGGGCCTGGGGGCTGTCCCCGAACATGTTTTTGCTCAAGGGTAGTGCTCTATCACTTGAGGCACAGCACCATTTCCATTTTTTCCTGAGTCGCTTGTTGGAGATAAGAGAGTCACAGCTTTTCCTGCCTGAGCTGGCTTTGAACAAGATCTCAGCCTCCTGAGTAGCTAGGATTATAGATGAGAGCCACCTGCACCAAGCCACACCACACTTTTAATCTGGGCTCTCTGCAATACAGAGGAGTACAATAAGGGCACCAGGTTATTAGTATTACACCTCATCTGCATGACAGTGCCCTCTACAGACTGCTAGGGGGATTCTTGCTGTCAGCCTTGAATTCAGCATAGCTGTATATTGCTGATTTCCAGCATGCAGCAGCCCCCATCATGACCCACCAGAGACCCACGACACAGATGTAAGTGGCTGCACTCCTCTGAAAAGCAAGCCTCACAGTTCTCAGCAAGGGCTTTGGTCCTCATGTCCTGCTCCACTGCCTTTTCTCGGGACATGAGCCTGAATGAACCCAGGAGCTGCTTCTCTTGGGAAAATGCCTTTCCCCCCAACCCTTATATCCTGGTGGTCCCCACTTTCCTGGGCCAGGGCCAGGGCAGTGACACAGTCAGCAAGGACCTGGATAAGCCCAAATCGCTTCTTGTGTAATTCTGTGCTAAGGGAGTGTTCAGCATGTGATGGGCCCTGTTCACTGTTATAAACTGGATTGTGGAAAGCCACAGGTCGTGTGCAGTTGCAGTGTTTGCCTCTCTCCTCCAGGGAGATGACAGTCTGTCTGCGATCA